GGGCCCTAGTGTATAGTGATCCGGTGCCCCAGAGCATGGCCAGCTCTAAGGGCCCTAGTGTATAGTGACCAGGTCTCCCACACCTCACAGCCACAGCTGTATGCAGTATTGGATTGTAATCTGGTTTTTGAAATGAAACTGTTTCACAGACTTCTGTAGTGACGCATGAAGGGCATGTTTGCAAATAACTGAAACAATTTGCTGTTGTGTTTACCTCTGTGGACAGTATTGCTCTGGATAATTCCCATAGGGAGAGTCTATGTCAAATGTCATCCATGTGAGTGAATCGAACAGACTGCTTGACCACTCTTTGTTAGCCTGCGCACCTCCCTTATCCCGACAAAACAGCCGATACTCAGACACATTGTATCACTTTCGAAGTATCAGGAAGGAGAGGTGGGGATCGTTCATTGTACATTGCAGATGTGATCAAATCGGTACAGGCTTTTTCTCTTATTACGAGAGTTCCAAAGCTCCAGTGATGGGGGAACAAGTCTTAACATTAAGATTTTGTACCATAAAAATAAAAACAAATCCTCCTTAAGATGTTTGTAACCGAGTCGTCTGTGATGAATGAACAGAGCTTTCTGCAGTTACATCCCCAGCTAGGGTATAGGGTTAATTCTGTCATCAGTGACTGATGAGCTAGCAAAACGTTCGAAATAAACCTTAAAATGTGTACAGTACTGCAGTGTAACGCGTGGTTGAAGCTGTGAGTAGCCTGGAGCAGCATGTGTGTACGTTTGATGCTTTCTTGATGGTCACTTGCACTGAAGATAAGAGCCCCTGTAATTAGACTTCTTTTTTAATAAGATCCCATCAACCAGGAAACCAATCTGCGGACCACCTCCCTGTTGAAGATGACACGTCATCTCTCCTGGGCATAACCATCTGCTACATCGTAGGGGGTCCCAGCACTGTATGCCCGGGCTTGTGTTAAAGCAATGGGCACATTGACCCCAATGGGTGCAATAGGTAAACAAGCACTGAATGTTCATGTGGAAGGAATTTGATTCTTGGCGTTAAGGTTCGTCACAAGTGGTACAGTAATTGATTAACTAGACTGTCCTCGTCGTATAGGGCATTACTGGGAGTAGGGGTGGCAGAAAGGTACAGTGATTGGTGCCGCTGCCAGTCTTTAATGGGGGTTACCCGTGTACCCCTTCCCCCCACTGTTCTGGACCAGCCGCTGGAGAGAACGGTTTTTGAAGTAGCTGATGATCACAACACGACTCGCACGTCAAGCCAAACTGAGGGACACCTTCAGTGTAAGAAGCTCGAGATGAGTAAAGGGAGGAAGTCGGGCCTATCCCCTTTCTACAGCGGTTTTGATTTGGGAAGGAGATGTGAGGCCAGGATTGTGGCTGGATTGTCAGAAAAGGGCAACCTAGTCTTGAACGCGGGGCATCACAGAGCATTAGTCCAGTCCGAGCCTTCCCTGTTGTAAATCTGAGCAGGAGCAGAGACCTGCGGTCTCTCCCCCCGGTCTCCGGACTGCAGGTGCAGGCTGGACTTGAGTTCAGTCTATTGTCCTACGCACTGCTGCATTGAGATGCTTATTTGCATGTAAGCTCCAATACAAAGACATTAAAGAAATCTCCAAAAATAAACACCGGACAGAAGCAGCAGCAGCACCAACGAGTTAAATAACTTAAAAAACATCAGCGTGAGTCAGTGGTGGGGGTAGAGTTCAGTAATCTGACCACTTGTGGGAAGAAACTCTCTGAATCTGGAAGTTTGTGCCTTTTATGCTCCTCTAACGCTTACCAGAGGGAAGGGAGGAGAAAAGTGAGAAATCAGGATGACTGGTGTCCATAGCGATACTTCCCAGCCTTCCTGAGACAGCGAGTTGTAAACATGTCCACAGTAGAGGGGAGCTGTACTCCAGTGATGGACTGGGCTGACCTGATCACCCCCTGTAACGCCTCAGACGACGAGCTGCTGCCAAACCACACTTTAATCCCACCCATGAGCACTCTCAACAGCGCACCTGCAAAATGTGGTATGGACAGTTGGACTTTGGAAAATCAAAACGTAAAAAAAGAATTATTCGGACCGTATCTATTGCAAGAATTTGTGATCCCTAGAAGCTTTTTTCTAATTTTTCTATTCAAATTGATATTTTATATCCATACACCAAATCTCGAAGACATGAGCCCTCAAGCGTGCTGCAGCGACAGACTTGCTCGGAAGCGAGGGAAAGCGCCCCCTCTGCTGGTGCACGCTGAGTATTGCGATAGGCCTTTTTACGCACCTGCGCCAAACGTAAAGGATGTTTTAGATAACGTTAGAAAATCGTGAAGCTTTGTTTCTTAATCAAGTTACAAGTTACTCTTTGAAGCTGTGAAATCTGTCGGACTGGATCGGCTAAAATCAGCTGATTTTACTTGGCCTGAAGCATTTTCTCAAATCCATTTAGAAACAGGCAACACCACTACAGCAGGAGTCGTCTTAAAGACCGCGTTAGGAAGGTTAGTTACACAGAACCGCCTTTTTCGTGCGTGCGAGATTTCTTAATACAAAGAAAATACAAAAAATACAAAAAAAAAACAGACACACTTCACAGCCAGAGGAATTTACAATTATAAAAGCTGAAAATTATCCTTTTGACATTTTTCCATTGTATGTCTTGTCTTTTGATTCTTGAAATTTCTAATATAATTAGAATTAAGTTAGAAGGAATTGTACCTTAAAAGCGTTAATGGGGGAGCAGTATTAGACCATTTACTTTTGTGGATTGAGTACTTTGCCAAAATATTTAACAGATTAATAATAAAAACATATCCTTTATCCAAATCAGGTCTACCAATAAATACAATTTCAAAATCTTTAAATTTAACACTTACCTTTAAATGTTTAACTAACATTTTGCATATCTATCCAAAACAATTTGTATATATGCGATTAACAAACAAATGCAACAAACATTCCTGCTCATTAGTACAAAATACAGTCATCTTGTTCATGTTTAAATCTAGAAAGTGTCAATTTAACAGGATAAAACCTATGAACCTATGAAGAACGAAATTTCTTTATTTGCAGGATGGTATCAGCAATTGTCCAAACTAATTTCCCATTTATATTCCTCAATATGTAGTATTCCAAAGAGAGACACAAGAAGGTACAACATATAAATTGCACAAATTCCTAATATAATTATTATTGCATTTTTTATCTTTTATATCTACTCCATGCAAAAATAAATGATCAGAGAAATAGGGAGAAACTCTGTTAGTAAGGTCGAGACTCTAAACAGCCTCCCCACTTTCTCAGGAACAGCACCAAAGACTATAGCATATTCATGGGGAGTGATAGGAATCTTCCATTTTTAATTAGTTTAAATATAATCCTGACACTAAACAAAATGTACCCGTGTCTTCTTTAGCCATCTTAAAGAAATATAGTAGTATCATCTGCAAGCTGACAATTTTTAATTTTTCTGAGATATTAATACCTTTCAAAAAATATTATTAATATAAAGAGCTAAAGTATGGGTTACTAATAAAAACAACAAAGGACGAAGAGGGCGTCCTTGTCTAATACCTGTACCACTATCAAATCTGGGAGACGTCCCATTATGTGACTTAACTGACCTATTACAACCATTATAAATAGTTTTAATAATATTTTGAAAATACTGACCAAAACCATAAAATTCTAAACATTTAAAAATAAAAGTATGTTCTAACATATCAAAAGCCTAAAAATCAAGAAATTCAGTCAATTTATCTTATCTGCGTGGGAGATATTTGAAAGAACTACCTCTTTCCTATAGGAGAAAAAACGGGATATTTGATTGGTCTTTAAAGTGACCGTATCATCCAGGTGGGGCTGCACATTGCTGGTGGTGGAGGGGATCCCATTACCTGTAAAGAGCTCTGTGTGGAGTGTCCAGAAAAGCGCTATATAAGTGTGAGAAAAGGGACGGATCTCGACGGGAAACCTTTTAACGGTTTCCTTTAATCCTAAAATGTACCTTTCTTAAATAACTTTTTCTGCAGTAACGAATACAAATTCTGCACCAGCGTTTAGACAGTATTATACGCCTAAAAATTGGGAACTTCGAGCAGGAGAGTGAGAGTGGGCTATGTTAAGAGTAGGATAAAATACGAGATAGACATTTGAGAGAGCCGCGTTTCTCGTTAATGCAATATTTGTTTTTTTAAATGGGGGGGGGGGGCTCTTAACCGTTTTTAAAGTGTCATTTTAATGCTCTTACAGAACCGTCTTACTGCTGTCGAGTCATTCCCCAGTACCTAGAGAGAGGTTTTCACGTTTAAACAGTCGGTTGTTGAAGCAAACAACGGACGAAAGGTTCGTCACCCTCCCATAGCTGGAGGTGACGTCAGAATCGCGACCCCCACCGGATGGGTGCCGGGAGTGTGAGGTCATGGAGGCGGTGTGTGTGTGTGTGGCTGTGGGGGGGGGGGTACGCGCACGCACACGCACACGCACAGCCGCGCACCCGCGCACCCGCCTGGTTGTTGATGTTCGAATGGGGAGCGCGCGCGCGCGGCCCGCTGCTGTCGCCGTTGGTGACGCCGGCGCGCGGCGCGCGAGGCAGGAGCAGGAGTGGGGGGGGGGAGCCTCGTGAACGCGCTTCCCAGGCGAGCACGGCCCGTGGACTCTCCACACGCTGGCTGGTGGGGGGCGATATGACCGAGGCGACGGCTCGGGCGGCTGCGTTTGTCCCTCATTTTCCTTTTCAGGCACGGCGCTCAGGGCCCCGGGACGCGGCTTCAAGCAGTTAATTAATTAAAACCGGGCTCCCCCCTTCTTCTTCTTTTTTTTTTTTCAAAAAACCAAAACAAGCAAATCGCCATTATATGATCCAGTATCCCGCGTCTCCGCTGCCCTCCATGTGGGTGAGGGACCTGTGTGTGTCCGACTATGGCGAGAAAAACAGTTAGCAGGAAAAGGAAGGCAGGCGAGCTCAGGGAACAACAGGTAAGCGCGGCCCTTGGTTTGTTGTGTGTCTCTTTTTCTCAGAAACACAACGCACACGAGAGGGAGCGGCGCTGCCCGGGGTGTTCCCGGGCAGGACGCGGCCGCCAGCGGGTCAGGGGCGAGGAGGCGAGCCGGCGCCGCAGCCCGACCTCCCCCGGGCTCGACTTTGCGCTCCGGCCGCCCGGGACACGCCGGGCTCCGGCAGGTCGCGGGGGGAGGTGGGCAGGGGAATGCGTTACGATGTGTTTTTGTTTTTGTTTTAAAAAAAAAAACCCTCCGTCAGCCCGACGGCGAGGTTGTCCGATGTGTGACGGGACGGTGGGCACTGTTTTGTTTTGTCGGGCCCCCCCCGTGATCCGGAGAGGGGCGCCGGCGGTGCCGCTCTTACAGCCCGGGTGCAACAGGGCGGTGGGGCCGGCCGGCTCTCTCTCGGTGTGGCGGGACGGGGAGATGATCCCTCCTGGGGGGGGGAACTGCGCAATCGGGGGGCCTTGACTTACTGACCGGGCGGCAGTGCTGACCCCCGGGTATCGGCTGAGGCCGACCGCTCTCGCAGGCAGCTGGATGGGTTTGTGACCGTTGCCCGGCTGGCTGGAGGGGAGTGAAACGTGTGTTGTCTGTTTGTGTTTGTGTTTGTGTGTGGTGGTGGTGGTGGGGGGGGTTGACTTCGCCGTTTGGCGAGGAGATTTCGGGTTTTCCCGAGGCGAAACGGGAGTGCGTGTTTGAATAAAAACCTCCGGTGCGATCGCTTAGCAACTGACACCGCGGGGGACAGGCCGGGCTGCGCTCGGGGCCTACCGCCAGCTCGGATCCGCAGCTGACATTTTTTTTGGGGGGGGGTGTTTTCGACGGGGTGAAGGGGGCTGGTAGGACCCCGGCTGGAGACCGCTGTTCCCCGTTGTATCCGTGCTGTTGTCGTGAAGCCTTGGCGCTCCTCTCGCCTCTTCCCACCGACGGGATGTGGACGTGGGATTCACGGCGGGGAAAGTTTGAATCCTCGTCCGGATTATGGTTTTTCCCACCCCTTATTTGTGTGTGTCTGGGGGGGGCCGGGAGGTTGTCAGAGAGAAGAAGGGGGTGCGAGGTCCGGCCGGCCGTGGCGCCCGCCGGGCAGCGAGTGGTTTGTGTCTGGGTGACGTCATGCGGGCCGGACCGGACCTCCGCGCTGGCACCAGGGCCGAAGGGCTGTCCTGGCACCAGGTGAGGTGTGAATATCTTCCCCGCCCCCTCACCTCCCCAGTTCTGTTTTTTTCCACGATGAAGTAACTTTGCAGCAGCGCCAAGGAAGCAAAAGGTGTAGTACAGAGGGACGGGGTAGTGGGGATGCCCGTTTATTTTTTTCCGTTTGCTCTTGGGGAAAGTACTTGAGGCTTTTGCTCTCGCTTGTGTGTGACGACCTGAGACGGGGGACTGTGGATTTACAGCCTCAAACAGAAAAAGGTCACCTGAAGCCAAAACAGCAGCCCGAAATTGTTTTTTAGATCAGTGCATGCTGCATGTTCCTAAACACCTCCATAATGCCACCCTTTTAATACTGAAAGCCAAGTTAGTGAACGCAGTCCTACCTGCATTACCTGACGCAAGCCCATGGCGCATGGAAGGAATCTGTTCCCAGGCAGCAGTGTCCTGTGTTCGTCGGTCTAATCTCAGGAAGAAATAGAACACCAGTAGGGAAATAAAACTACGTTGTATGGTGTGGGTCCGCTGGCTGTTGGTAAAAGCTAAAAACATTGTTGCACATCAGAATGAAGATACACTAGGTGAAACCTTCAGATGTTCACTGTTTGAACATCTGATTAGTAGTTCTCATTGCAGTGTTAACCCCAGACGATCCCTGGGTGCTTTACAGGAAGAGGCGGCCTGCTCTGTCTGCCTCGGTGAAGCCAGGCTGGGAGACGAGCTCGTTGGCTCCTTGAATTAAGGGAGGTTTCAGTGGGCTGATTGTGCAAGTAGAGAGCGCAGTACCAGGGTCGCTGCGCTTGTTAACCACTGAGATTTTAGCGATCAGGTGTTCCGTTTATCACATCTGAAGGATGGCATCCCTGTGTTGGTCTTTGTGGGAAGTGTGCCCCCTACTGGCCCACCAACAGACAGCACCACCCTGCTTTCCTCTAGAGCACCACTGGGGAGGCTGGTGTGTTTCCAGGTGTTCAGCTTCACCTTAAAGATTAGTTCAAACTTAGCTACCAATGTTATATTCATTAAAATATCCATCTATACTTATTTCCCCAGTTAAAGGTATCTTATACAATGCTTAACAATCAAGGACAGAGAACCATTACTCTGGGAGTCCAGCACCTGAAATTTTGTTCCAGCTGAACTTTTACATATTTGGATCCTTGTTGGAACTGACAAGTTTCTCGATGGAGCCTTTGCAATTTTTTTTCTGCTCGGGTGTTGGAAGCTCTTACTGTACTTATTAAATGCAACAGTTAAAAGGCAGCTGCCTGGGTATTTAGAAGTTGAAAGCAGTGCTCAGGTCAGCCCTGTTATTGAACGGAGTGCAGTTGTGTGGGTTCTGGGAGCCCTGGCTAGAGAGCGTTCCCACCGGAGTTAAAACCACAGTGGCCGGATTTACAGGTGAACCATGATCCATGGGACACCAGGAAGCTACGTGGAAGTGCTTTTAAATCCAAGAGCAGGAGGGGCGTCTTGACCCAGAGGGATGTAGGAGCCAGAACAAGCTGTCCAGCTGTGTCATGGAAGCCGATGAAATCCTCAGATCCATTCATACCAAGGGCCTCAAGCACTAGGGCACTAGGAGGCCCAATGCCCTCCTCTCGTTCCTCACCGCTCCTACATTCTTAAATCACTAAGTGCATTTATATGCTCACGTAACAATGACAAGTCTGTTGTTTTAAATCAGTCATGAATAGAAAAGGTGAAATGTGAGGCAAGGCCATGTTGATTGTATTCTATATGCATCGTGAGACAAGGAGTGCTATGTCCAGGTTTATACGCCAGAGCGTTTTGAAGAAAATTGTTTCTTTAAACCATGCGACTTAAACATCCGATTCAGTCTTACGTCTTTGACAGACGCCGGCTCGCACCAGTTTTCCGAAGCAATATCGAAGCTTCACTCGTGCCCAGTCCAGTGTCCTGGCCCGGCTGGACTCCTTCCCAGAGCCTGTCACGGTTGTGTGGCTCCATTGTGCGCTGGATTTCTGACTGGGGAGTTGACACCTGGGCACCTCGGCCATGAAGTCGAACTGTGGCTCGCTGTGTGAATCTCCAGTGTGGAGTTAATTAGCCTTTTCCAGCGCAAGTCACGCTAGTCGGTCAGATTACCGCCGTAATGTTTTCATTCTGCGTGTGGCTTGCCGTGGCTGAACATGTGAATAAAATGTCACAGGGACAAAAGTGCCATGAGGGAGAGTGCCTACAAACGAGGAAGGATTCGTTTGCGAGTTTATCGCAGCTTCACCTAACGACCCCAGTTTGCCGTTTGCTGCTTGTGTGTTGATGTTGCAATGATGATTTTGTGCCTTGTTGGCTATATAAAGGACTTTTTGAAATCGTTAGCAGGTTGGACACCCAGTAATACAAATAGCAGAATTGCACAGCCATGTGGAATGAGAACTTAAATGAGTAACCCCACCCCATCGAGAGTCTTAAATGTTTTCTTCTTCGCACTCTGACGTGTCACCAGGGACTCGCTCACGCGGGCAGCTGGGCAGGACTGACCCACCCTGAGCCGTTTTGTCCTAATGCACAGGAGTTCAGACTTCTAGAGCAGTCACTCGGGAGGCCTTGTGTGAATCCTGCTTCTTCATAAGCTTTTGTAGACTTCACTGGTGTCAAAAAGTGCAACTCAGTTGGGAAAACACTTTCCATTAGCTTTTATCTCCTTTCCTCTCTTGATGGGGAGTTCAGCTTGTGAAAGCACTTGAATAACCTTTTTCCCTTTTGCCTGTGTCTTGTGTATCCTAATAATAATTACTTACACTTATATAGCGTTTTTCTGGACACTCCCCTCAAAGTGCTTTTACAGGTAATGGGGATCCCCTCCACCACCACCAGTGTGCAGCCCCACCTGGATGATGCGATGGCAGCTATAGTGCGCCAGAACGCTCACCACACATCAGATATCGGTGGGAAGGAGAGCAGAGTAATGAAGCCAATTCATAGATGGGGATTATTAGGAGGCCATGATTGGTAAGGGCCAATCAATGGGAAATTTGGCCAGGGCACCTACTAGGGATTTTTAATGACCACAGAGAGTCAGGACCTTGGTTTTCTATCTCATCCGAAGGACGGCACCTTTTTACAGTATTGTGTCCTCATCAATCCCCTGCTGGCCCTACTAAGACCTCTTCCAGCAGCAACCTTAGTTTTTCCCAGGAGGTCTCCCCTCCAGGTACTGACCAGGCTCACACTGAGCTTCAGTGGGCTGCTGTGAGTTGCAGGGTGATATGGCAGTTCCTTGATTTATTCCCTTGCTTGTGCTTGTGAGTCTGACGCAGTGTACAGGTGCCTTCCAGAGCTGAACCTGCACGCGGTCTGCTGGAATCGCGTGCTGCGTTGTCCTTCCCGTGGCTGCATGAACTCGGCGTGTTCTTTCCTCGGGGCTGTTCCATAGCTGCCTGCTCGGCGCGGCGCTTTGTGAGTGCTGCCCCCTGCTGGCTGGGCTCGTTCTCCCCCGGCGAGTCTCGGCGAGAGGGACGCGAACTGTCCCTGCCAGCGCCCGGTGTCCGAAGTCAAACCGTCGAACGAGCGCCCGCTTGTGGGCTCCCCTGGTTTCGCGGCGGTGGCTGTAACCCTGTCCCTTTCCCTCCCCGCCAGCTGGGCTGGGCCCCCGAGGTGTGCAAGAGGCAGCGGCTGGCCGCGGCGCGGCGCTCCGTGGTGTGCGTCCTGCGCGGCCGGGAGTTCCGCCAGCAGCAGCAGCACGAGCGGCGCCTGCAGCAGAGCATGCGAGGCTACGCGGCCCAGCGCCTGCCCGGCATCCTGCGCGAGCGGGAGTTCGCCCTGGGCACCCTCAACAAGGTGTTCGCCTCGCAGTGGCTCAACCACAGGCAGGTGGTGTGCGGGACCAAGTGCAATACGGTAAGCCCCCCCCGCCCGCCCGATCGCCCGCCCACCCACCGATCCCCGTGCGCTGACCGTGCGCCCCCTCTCCCTGCGCCCCAGCTGTTCGTGGTGGACGTGCTGACCGGCCAGATCACGCGGATCCCCATGCTGAAGGACCGGGAGCCGGGCTGCGCCCTCTTGGACCAGCAGGGCTGCGGGATCCATGCCATCGAGCTCAACCCCTCGGGCACCCTGCTGGCCACTGGGGGGGACAACCCCAACAGCCTGGCCGTCTACCGCCTGCCCACCCTCGACCCCGTCTGTGTGGGAGACGTAAGTCTGCTCGGGGGGCTCGCGGGTCCTTCTAGTCCTGCAGCGTGCAGAAGCCTCTTGGCTGTCTTGGTTGCCGAGTCTTGCCCTGTGTGCGATACGCAGAAAGGAGTGTGCGTCGGTTGCCATTGCACACGCTCCGCGTTCGCTGTGTAAAAACCCTGTTATACGCGTGCATGAGTTTTAACTGCTGCAGTCAGGCTGATCATTTAGGCGCTGAAGACCGGCGCAAGGGAAGGGGCTGGTGGGCTGGACCTCAGCAGTGGGGCTTATTCATGATGGTCTCTTTCCCTGTGTTTCAGGACGGCCACAAGGACTGGATATTCTCCATTGCCTGGATTAGTGACAGCATGGCTGTGTCGGGTGAGCAGACTGGGCTCCGCCTGTTTCACTGGGGTTATAAAATCAGTGACATGTATAGCAGATGTCCAGCAGTCGAGTGAGCAACATGGGCCTTTTCTCATCCGCGGCCTGCCTCGGTATCCCTGTACCCCCTGCCCCGGTTAGCACAGCCTGCTGCTCGTGTCCCCCTTCTCTCGGCTCAGCGTCCCATGTGTGTCGTGGCTCTCGCAGGGTCCCGGGACGGCTCCATGGGACTGTGGGAGGTGTCGGAGGAGGTGCTGAGCCAAGCCGCGCGGCAGCGGGATGAGGCTGGGGTCCCCACCTACTCCCACATCACGCACAGCGCCCTCAAGGACATCCCCAAAGAGTACACCAACCCCTACAACTGCAAAGTGCGCGCACTGGCCTTCAACAACGGCAGCAAGGTCAGCCGAGACGGCCTTCGCTCAGCAGCTCGTTTGATAAGACAAGTTTCTGGTCGACTCGCTGGAGTCATATTTAGCCTGGAAGCAAACTGCACATAAATGTTTTGAGAAAACAATAGACTGCCTTTCGGTCGTTTTTCTTTGCATGCTTATGCCCCGCATGAGTGACCTTGCTACGGTTGCTATGAGGTTGTGGTAAGGCAGCTGGATGCCTGCTTGTGTGTGACAGTGAAAGCAGGCCTAGAGAACGTGATATCTGTCTCTCTGACTGGGGAGCTGTCTGTCTTTCTCTCAGGAGCTGGGAGCTGTGTCTCTTGATGGCTATTTCCACCTGTGGAAAGCAGAGCACAATCTGTGCAAGGTGAGTGCCGTGCGGTTTCTGTCTTTTCTCTTCAGAGCGCAGGAATCTTTCCTGACCTGGAAGGGTCTCTGCGTGCTTGTAGAGCACCTGATTAAGCTGGTGCCCCACACAGCTGGCTCAGATGAAAGCATGCAGTTGAGCAGTTGGTCTGGGTCGAACTCTAACCCTAACCCAACGGTGGGCTTAACCTGGAGAACTGGCACCTGGTTTTCTATGTGAATCCCTCTGCACGATTCACATCAGACCTTTTCCGAACTGGTGTCTCAGTAGCAGGTTACTTTTTGTAATGGGGAAAAAATAAGAACGGTAACTCTTCCAGGGTTGTGGAGAGGTGGCACTGGGGCTAAGGATCTGTCGGTTCAAATCCCGCGGCCAGCAGAGGAATCCTACTCCGTTGGGCCCCTGAGCAAGGCCCTTTACCCCAGTTGCCTTAGGGGTGCTGTACAATGGCTGACCCTGCGCTCTGACCCCAATCTTCTCTCCCTGTCTGTGTCTCATGGAGAGCAAGCTGGGGTCTGCAAAAAAGACTTAATTCCTAATGCAAGAAATTGTATATGGCCAATAAAGTGATCTTATCTTCACAGTTTAATCAGATGAGAATTTACTTTCCTGAATTGTTTGTCTCAATAAAATCTTATTCTAAAATTTGAGATGCAGCTCTTGCAAGGATTATTTTTTAATCTTGCGATCTGTTTCTACCATATGTCAAAGGTTGTTTTTAGTGAATACCTCTTTTTCCTTTCCCTGCCTCTCTCCGGGTCAGCTCCTGTCCACCAAGCTTCCTCACTGCAAGGAGAATGTGTGTCTGGCCTACGGTCAGGAGTGGTCAGTCTATGCGGTTGGCTCCCAGGCCCACGTCTCCTTCCTGGACCCCCGCCAGCCCCCCAACAACGTCAAGTCAGTGAGCTCTCGGGAGAGGGGCAGTGGTGAGTGCACACGCCCTCGGCCACGCTTCCCTGCCGTTACCCCTGTCCCCAACCCCAGAGGCAGCTCGCCCTGGCCTTAAGTTCAGTTCACCTGAAACAGACGCATGGGGTCAGTCGGGGACTGCTACAGATGATTTAGAGCTCCTGCATTGATAACATTGATGGAACAGAATAATTCAGTGTAAAGAACTCTGTCTAATGATGTAGGAGGAGTGGGGAGCCTGAATCCCTAAGGCTTATATAGGAGTGTCATTACTGCAGGCATCATTTAGTGACCGAGTGTTGCTGATCATTTTGCTTTGTTGGACTGATTTCCCTCTGACCGCGGATCTCTGAGCCCTGCTGGACTGGGGTCCCTGGGTGCCAGACTTCAGGGGTGTCCTGACTGAGGCTGTCTCCGTTTTAGGGATCCGCTCGGTCAGCTTCTACGAGCACATCATCACAGTGGGCACCGGCCAGGGTTCGCTGCTCTTCTACGACATCCGTGCCCAGCGCTTTCTGGAAGACCCCTCGGGCCCGAGCTGTGGCTACAAGGGGCGGCCCGGAGACGGCATTCTCAAGCTCTCGACTGGCAAGGGCTGGCTGGTGAGTGCCCGACTCCCCCTGTCTCCGTCGCTCTGCTCGAAGACTGCTGCAGCTCCAGAGCCTCCCTGTCCAGCGCCCTGAGAGCTCGTGTCAGGAAGGTCTGCTCGCCTCCTCCATAGTTGTCTCTCCTGAGGCTTGCCACGTCTTTTTCTAGAGATTTTTCACATATTTGTTTCTTTCGTTTTTCCTCCTGGGCCCGGAGTGTATTTTTCAGCTTCATCATCCAGGGGAGTGATTTTTTTTTTTCTCTTTCCATTCCAGCGCCTGCCTTTTTATTTCTGTGAGCTTCCTGTGTCCGTGCCAGTCTCCCTGCTTTACAGCCGTTTCACTGCTCTCCCTCTGTCCCGCAGAACTACGACGAGACCTGGAGAAGCTACTTCGCGGAGATCAGCTCCTTCCCCAACGCGGTGTACACCCACTGCTACGACACCTCGGGCACCAAGCTCTTCGTCGCGGGCGGGCCGCTGTGCTCGGGGCTGCACGGGAACTACGCGGGACTGTGGAGCTAGCGCCCGGCCACGAGCAGGCGCCCCCTTTCCTCCTGCCCCCCTTTTTTGATTTGAGTTGACTTTCAGTTCTTCGGGAAGCAGCCGGGTGAGCTGTGTTTTTTGTTGGCGTTTTTCCTATGGTCATTCTGTCAGCCAGTGGATTGACACCGTGTGGAATTAAGAGACGTAGCCATCGGGCGCAGAGACACTTCCTCTTGGACCTGATTTCCTCCAAGCAGCACACCAGCATAGAAGACGCTCTGCAGCGCTTGGTCTGAATCGCTGGGCCGGAGCTCGGACGCCTGTGTGAACGGCAGGGAGAGTCTTGCTGTCCTCCAGTGCGGAGGGAAGAGACGGAACAGAAGAGATGAAGGAGCTGATGGCGCACTGGATGAACGATGAGGGTTTGGTTGGCTTTGGTATCGGCTGGAAAGCTTGGTTCCTCTGTTTTGTTTTTTTTTGGGGGTGGTGTTGTGGTGTTCACCCCTCCTCCAGGAAGGCGGGCGGTGGGCAGGGACAGAGTGTAGCAGAGCTGAGGGGTGAGGAGGGCATGCCCCTCCAGTCTGGAGCAGGAAGAACAGCCAGAAACACTAACCAACTCCAGCTTTGTCCCACCGAAAGAAAAAAACAAACCTGGAGGATTTTTAACATTTTATTTTCTCTTTGCTGATTTTTGTTTTTTTTGTTTTACAAGATATTTTATCTTCCGGACTTGGTCACCCACTTGCTGTGTGTTTTCCTGTAGCCTCCCCTTTCTCTCCATCGTCACCTTGGTGTGCTTGTGTCGGTTCTTTCGGAGTGTTTATTAGTCGAGTGGTCTCGCCCTCCTCGCCAGCAGCCAGAGGCAGGACTTAATTTATTGCTTTGCCTCCTCTTGGTCTTTCTGTGAAAGACCACTGTGGGCCGTCGTTGTGTTTCATGGTACTAAGTGTGTCTGTACAGTACAAAAAGAAAAATGAAAATTACGACCATCCATCTAACGCATAACCATCACTTTTTTATTTCTTATATATATACTTATATATGAGAATTCAAACTAACTTGTCTGTTTCTAGTGGTGCCCTCTTTTATATACACTTCATGAATGTTTTTACAAATTACGAGTCTGAAAATATTGTACAACATCAAACAAAAACTAACCAAAAAAATTATAAAAAATCAAATAAAAGTCTATTGATGTATTTTTTTCCTACAGATACTATTGGCTGATTCTTTTCTGTTTCTTATCCTTGTCCTTTTTAGAAAGGTTAACTACCAGTGTTTATCTCAAAGGTGCATCTGGTTAGCTGCAGCGATGCGACTGTACTGCTCTGTATGTCCACTTAAACACCACAGCATTCCCAACACTAATGACTGCATAGCCTCCTCAGACACCCCTGCAGCTCCCCACAGCTTGGAAATTGAGTTTTGGAGACCCGAAACTCCAAAGAACGGAATGTCGTTTTGAAAATAAACTGTAGTTTTAAAAGTGAGTTGAGTTGGTGCCCAGTGAGACTGAAGTACCGAGACATATAGAGCCGGCCTTTTGAATTTTCAAGTGGATTTGATTTTACATGGAAAAATCAGTGGGAGCAAATGTCAAATGCAAAAAATCCGATGGCACCAGATACAGGGAAGTAGGGAGCTGCGTCAGCAGGTATAGGCTGCAAAGGAACAAGTAAAGGATTATTCCATGCTGAAAAGAAGTGTCATTTCAGCTGTGGAGCCAGATCACACTCCTGAAGAAGGCTCCACAGCCGAATTGCTGTGCCTCTTTTCTTTTCAGCGTGGAATAGACCCATACTTGTTCAGATACAATAAATACCGTCTGTTCACTTGGATTGATCTCATCCCATGTCGTTTTCGAACCGCTTACTCCTGCTGAGGGTCGGGGTAGTTACAGGCTGAGCAGGCCAGACCAGACTTCCCTTCCTCCGGCGACAGTCCCCAGCTCCTCCTGGGGGATTCCACACTCGCCGTCGCAGATCGGTACGGCAGCCTCGACACCAACCTGCTGGGCAGTCCTACGATCCCCTCGGCCCTCTCTCCGGAGGTCTGTGACTTCAGATTTGGAGGTGCTGACCGCATCACACCTGTGAGCTGCTCGTCGGAGATCACAGTCGGAGGAGGTGAAGAGGAGAGATGAAGCCCTCAGGTCCCCAAGCTGGACACACTCTGTCTTGATGTCCTGTCCCTGAAGGTCACTGAGGAGAGGAGGAAAGACGCACCCTGGCTCGAGTCCAGCGCCTTCCTTAAACAGGCATCTGAGAATGCAGACACGGATCTGACTGTAAACACAGGACCTGGCACCCCGTACTCCTCCAGTACTCCTCCATGTGCAGAAAACGTGTAGACAGGAGTGGTTAACTCCTTTGCCCCCAGATGTCCATGCGAGGACAAAGAGTTGGTCTGCTGCTCCTCCGCCAGGATGGAATCCATTGTTCTTCCTGTATCCAAGGCTCAGCTGTCGGGCAGAGTCTCCATTCCTGAACCCCGGCACAGGCTTTTCCAGGGAAGGGCGAGGGGTGCGATCCCTCTGTAGTTGGAGCATGCCCCCTGGCCCTGCTTTTTAGAAATGGGGCTCGCCACCCGAGTCTGCCGGTCCAGAGGTACTGTCCCTGCTGTCCACCCATCACTGAAGAAAACATGAGATTTCCTGGGAGAGTGCCCTGGCTGTGATCGTTTCCTTGCTGGGTCCCGGAATGTTTTTAAGCAGTGTTAAGTAATGGATCATTACCGAATCATGACCTCCTCTGCACTGTTGGGTTTCAATCTGGACAAGGGCAGTGTGTTTCAACTGTTTCATTTATTGCACAAGCAGGTGAAAGTACCGGGCAGGCCTATAGTGTGGTTTTGTTTCTGCTCCAGCCTCCAAAGGAGCTGCTTTATACCACAGTGAGTCTAAAGCAGGGGGTGGCAACTGCAGGCTTGAGTACTCCCTAACAGAAAATTGTTGCTATGTTGCAACATGCTTAACTTTTTAACTCTTTGTTCTAGTTAATGTACTTAATGCAGAATCACAGTTCTGTACGATATACACTTTGTAGACCGGGTAGAAAAGTTAACTGAATAATGCGAACGGTTATCTGAAAAACCAACCACTGTGGCTGTCGGAGAACTGAATTAGAGGTCCCCGATCAGAAATGCTTTCACATGATTGTGAGCTTGGAGTTAGGGTGTGTGCGAAGCACAGAGCTAAGTACATCTACCATGTTCTGGTTTATGTATTAAAAAAAGGCCCGGTTGCCCACTGGCTGTTTTTCACACCTCTGCTCATGGCTACAGGCCTCCTGACCGCACATGAGAGATTGAGGAAGTATAGGGAGACTCACCTGACCCGCCCACCTTCCAGCCAATCATCTTTTAACAGTCCGAGGCAATGCAACCCTGTTTGGCGCTGATTGGAGGAAAGACGCGTCCCTCCCTGCTGGTACCACCTGCCTGCAAGCACTCAGAGTACCACAAGGGGTGCTGTCTTCCTGTGAGCCAAAAGAGCCCCGAGGCAAATCCCGCCCTACCCTCAGCCCAGTTCAGCCAGCTGCACGCCACCGGCAGCCAGCATGTGTCACTGTTGTGTTCTCTACCAGCTTTGCCTCTTTAGTACCATAGCCAGGCTTTTGTCCAGCTCATCTAGAGAACACAGCAGATCTTCATGCCTGGGCCCTGTCTCTGGCTGCCGGTGGCGTACAGCTAGCTGAACTAGGCTGAGGGTAGGGCGGGACTTGTCTCAGGGCTCAGCTGCTCCTGAAGCCCCAGCAGCTCTGCAACCTGGAGGTCCAGGCTTGGGGTCGTGCACACGAGTGGGCCAGCCTTCATCTTCAGGCAGGAAGGAGTCGAGACATGAAGGCGTAAAGACATTTAAGATCACACGAGGTGTTTTGCAGTATTTCCCTCCAGCTTTTGTGTTCTGCGGACAGTACATTCTGAAGGTCCTGCTTTTTAACAATTCTGCGAGAGATCATGGGTGCTGTGTATCACTGGCTAAATACCTGGCTGACTAAAGCGTCTATGTAAATCGGGTTATAAAATAGTTCTAACAGCGTGTGACAGAAAAGCAAGTGTACAAAAACTGTGAACGTAGGAAAAATTCAGTTTTGTTTTTAGGAACAGCATTAGTACTTCCACAACTTTATTTTAGCAAAAACATAATACTTCATTGTCATTTTGTTATTGTTTTGAACTGGATTGAGAAGCTTGTCATTTCTCGAAGAGGCCAGTTCATTCTGAGCCAGTTGACAATCTACTGTGTCCAGTACCGTAGATGACACACAGTCCTTCCTGTACCATTCTCACCCAGGCGCACGGAGACCAGTCACATCCGTCCACCTGTTTTCTAACCTCTTTATCCAATACAGAGTTGTGGGGGAGCAGGAGCCTATCCCAGCAAGAAACGGGACAAAGGAAGGGTACATCCTGGATGGGACGCCAGTCACACAGACAAGCACGCACTCACACCAAGGCCAGTTTCCCCAGAATCCAATTAACCTGCCAGTGTGTCTTTGGACGGTGAGAGGAACCCCATGCGAAAGTGGGAGAACATACAGTACAAACTGATAGCACCCCAGATCCGGTGTGTGACCCAGGAACCCAGTGCTGTTAACAACCGAGTCACCATGCCGCCCAGATTCTCTAAACCATGTGAGCGGGTAACGTTTCCAGGTGTGAGCATCGGGGCTTTTACAGGTGCTGTCATCAAGACTGAGCCGTTCCTATTTGCCCTGAGCCTTCCTCTCTCTCCCTCCATCGCAGCTCTCAGTGTGCAGTCAGGATCTCCCGCCCTCGGACAGCAGTCTTCTCTCCAAAGTCCTGCAAGTGACATGACACCCCTTCTTTTAGCGTTGCTCCCTACGACGTTCCAACCTTCTGACTTCAATTTCGGAGGGTCGGTGTAGACTCTCCACAATCCTCCAGAACTGCTGCTTGCTCCTTTGAACGATCTCCTGAACTTCGGGATTTGTATTTTCGGTGAAGTCTTTAAACGCCTCCAGAACAGCACCTGGAGCTTGAGCCAGTGGGCGTTACTGTACGGTGGGGTCTCCCACATCTGTCGTTCTAACATTTGCCAGTCCCCTTCTTCTCGATTCGGGCTGGCCGAAGGGATCTTGGATGGAAGAAGATGAGAGTGGGGTGAAACCGAGCCGAAGGTTGTTAAGCGCAACTTTCCAATCAGTGGCACAACAGACTAGGATGGCGAGACGCATCCCATACCTGCTACCCAGCCCCCCTCTCTCAACAGGGTCTTGCTTCTGGATTGTACCGAGCATGAGCGGTAAACACACTGTTTTGCGAGGAATGGGGGATGGATGGAGAGGGGAAGATTTTGACCGCTGGACATTTTCTCTGCCCCAAGTGAAAAAGGAGAGCAGTGAGCTTTCAGCTTCAGAGGATCCACAGGAGACAGCGAGCACCAGCTCTGCTTGTGGCGGGAGATCAGGAAAAAGCGAATTCGGTGATGCGAAGGGCACTGATGAGGCGGTCGGTGAATGAGGAGAACAGTTTAAAAACGTACACAGGGTAGTGGAAGAATGCAGGAAACTAGAAGATGAAAGAGCTGGGTTAGACAAGGAAGAAAGAGAGAACTTAAGCTTTACAAGGCCGAAGCAGATACTCCATCTCTCAAAATTGTACGTAAGGCAAATGAAAAGTGAGGAAATGAAAGTGTTAAGGATGTGAACAAAGGGCTTAGGCGCAGAGATGGAAAAACTGAGACGCTCAACAGAGGGCTGTGGAATGCGAGCAGGCTGTGATTTTAAATGAACAGCAGAAAAGGGAGTTGGAGAAGGAAAAGCACAACTAGACAAGAGTATTGAAAACTTGCAGGAATAGTTGTAAAAGCTCAGATATACAAACCAGAATCACAGAAAGCTGCGTACTATAAAAGGAAAGGTGATCGGGAAGCCGATGTAGCACATAGAGTGAGTCAGATTATTAGCACATGTTAAAAGGAAAGTATAGCAATGCTGTCAGAGAGGCTTATGTGGGTTTTATAAATTATAAATCTAAGTGGCGACGGGGCAAGTGCAGGAAAAAAATGAAATCCTGGCGCAATACACTGCTGATATCTTGCTTGAAGCCCTACATGGGTTTGATGAGCTCCGGGAGACAGACAAGACTAGGATCGCAGTTGCCAATGATACCAATTATTGTGTGTTGTTATTCCCAACAAATCTATGTCAT